TAAACATTTGGGCGGCGTTATGCAAATCTTCCCACACAGTGACGTAGACATGTGGGGGCGTGTTTGAACGAGGCGTTTTAGGAGGGCGTGGACCAGCCTTAACTTTTATAAAGAATATCTCTTTGGGTTTGAGACTTTAGTCATTGCAACTTTAGGGATCTTATCTATTCACGAACAGCTTGTAACACTCCAAAGAGAAAGGAAAACTTGAAATTGCATCATACGACCCATTTAAAATAGCAGTAATAATAATAAAAAAATATTGTTTTAAAATGTAAAAAATTGCTGTTTACTGTTGTTTTGACATCAAATACATGCAGTCTTGGTGTGAATAAAAAACTTTAAAAAACTTACCAACCTTAAACTTTGCATACATCTGACTCGGCTCAAAATCGTATCATCTGAGAAGGGTGTCAATACCAGGTGTAAACAGGGTTCATAAGAAGCCAAACGATGGAATTGATATATCTAGTCTATCAAATCCTCACATCCTACCTAATGCTCTGTTATACTGTACCTTCTATACTACTAATAAAGTAACTTGGGCTAGGCAGAGGTATGAAACATCAAGTGATAAATTACAAGAGCTGTAGAGCGGTAGACTGGAGTGCGTTTTTCTAGATCTGTATTTCTGGAACATTTGAAGTGTCCCCCAGTTCACAGCATAATTTTTCTTGAAAATGTGCTGGTTAAGTGAGTTCTTCTCATTAGTATAAAAGTAAGCTGTTCTTCCATACTTGCTTTTTTAAATTTGTTTCAGTCTGTCCTAGTTTATTTTATTCCTCTTCATTTTCCCCACAATCATGCTCGGAATAGTTTAAAGAAACAGTTCATTCAAAATCAAACTTCTGTCATTAATTTATTCATCTTCATGTCATTTTAAACACATATTCTTTTCTTTCTTATATGGAACACAAACAGAAAAGTTTTGAAGAATATTCACAGTAAATTCACATATATGTCCTTTTGAGACCAAGTCATAAAGTTTTTAAAAGACATGATGGTGAGTAAATTATGACAGAAATTTCATTTTTTGTGTGAAATATTCCTTAACACTTAACTCTCTCTCTCCATTCTCTTTCTCTCCCCAGGGCAGTTCTTGATTCTGACACATTTTAGTCTTTCAGTCTCACCTCTGAAGAACCGCAGACTTCCATTTATGCATGCTCTGTCTATCTTTCTCTCTCTCTACCACTATTTATCTCCCTTGATCCCTCTCTCTAACATGTATTTTTGTGAAAAGAGGTAATGGACAGATCTGCCCAATTACTGAGCATGTGCCCTCTTTGTCCCTGACCTCTAACTATTCCACTTGACCTCCCAGCATGCACTGTTTCAGACAGAGACAGGAAAAAAAGAAAGTGTAAGAGAGAGAGAGGCCCGCATGAGTAAAATCTATTTGAAGCAATATATTTGCATTTCAATGTAAAGACAGGTTTCTAGTATATATGGTGCATGCAAATATTTAAATCTTAAAAATGTAAAATGTTGGCCCAAAAAATGGATGCTGGGGAAAAAAAATAGCTAAGAATTCCTAGCTCAGAATTTCACCTTGACAGTAAAGAACAATCATGTAAGGATTTCGAATAAATAAGAATTACATAAATTGGAGGAAGTTGTAGTCTGAGCAATCTGAATGATTTGTGAGATATCGCTAACTTGTAGAGCCTCTTACTGTATTATCAAGATACAACTGTAATAAAAGGGGTTTTATTAACAAAATGATAGATAAGAGTAACTAACAACTACTAAATGGATACAGTGAATGGATAAAGTGTAAAAGATTGATAAATGCAAGTTGGATGTTACTATGGGCATTATCTTATGGAAAGATAAACTGAAGTTTCCTGAAAGTAATAAGGTAAACCTTATTAAGATTCAACAAATAAATTGAGAGATCATTTGTTATTAACTGACATCAGCTATATAAAATATAATGCAAATTACACACTAATGCCAAGGGTCTCTGGGGAAGAGGTTACGTTCCGCCTGGTCATATGCTGAGTCTGAGCGGCGACGTCTTCCACTTGTTGATCTGGGCCACGTTGCAGTGGGAAGAAAGGAGCTGGATTCGTTTCAACACAATTCGTCTTGAGCACGAAGCACTAATGAACAATGAAGTCCTGAGCACCGAGAAGGTCCTAGGAACATGCAAACGGAGGAGCCTTGAAAGTTGACGAGACGATTCTGACGTTGGTGGAGACGATGTGGGATACTAAGCTTGTGGTCCCCGTTGCTGTTGCGGTTTCCAATCTCCCCAGATTCACTTCTTGTAGATCTACCTTGTTTCTCCTTAGAACAACTTAGCAGCTCTTAGGGCAATTACAGTAGTAGCTACAACAGCTTAGCACATTTCTTTGTCTTGAAGAGAACCTTTTATTCTTCCCTGAGAAGGAGGGATTTGCAAGTTGGCACCTTTCAGATCCAGCGGTTTGATTGGCCGATGCTGTCGGAGGTGGCCATGGTATGGCCCCTCTCTGGCATGAGGTCTATTTGCATAGCTTAAAGTCCACGTTTAGAGCAATGTCTTTAAGGTTTCCCTATGCATAATTCACGTCCCAAACCACTTTCAGATTAACCAGCACATTGTGCTGAAAATATGAAGACCAAACATCAATGGGTAATGCTGAACAATTACCGATGCATTCATATATTATTGAACTGTTGTATAAAAGTAATATCACACATTTGGAGTGACTCATCTCTCTCTCTCTCTCACCTACTGCTCTGCAGTTTTAGTGGACTAATGATGCCTGACTGTATTCCTGAACAACTTCAATTTTCTCCTTGTACATCAAGCAGGTCCTATTAAGAGACCAAAATCGACCTGGCTCTGATGTAACAGTCCGAAGTTACTTAAATTAAAATAACTAAATGTATAGAAATCTATTCACACATTCGCTATTTTATTTGAAATAATTTCATCACCACTTAAAATAATTTTAAGTGACACGACTAGTTGCAACGTGTCAAAAACAGAGTGTGTGTCCATCAACTGAAAGCACATTGTAATGCTGCAGACAGCTCAGTTGATTATAATGGGATTGAGCTTGTTTTACATGTCAGGCATCTGGTGTAGATGAGCGTAACCAAACTTTTCTGACAGATGTGGGCATGCAAGCTTTGTTGTCTTTTACAGATGTGCAACTACATGTGTATTTTAAGTCTGTAATAAATCATGTGGAAAAATACATGGATATAAGGCTACTAACAAGTAGGAAAACTGCGGTATGATATAACATTACAGGCCAAAGCAAATGCAAAAAAAAGCAGAAAATTGATTTATGGGCCAGATTTAAAATAAACTATAACACTTAAGGGACTATATGATATATATATATATCTTCCATACGGGAGGCAGTTTTATACCCTTGTCTGTAAGTTTTTGTACACGGATCATGTGTAAATGGATGAATATGTGAGTGTGTTTGCGTATGTGGTACCTGTGACTCTCAGTTTGTCTGTGCCAATACTGATCTCCTCTTCATCAGCAGAGAAGAGAACTGTCTCACCATCACTACTTCTCACTTCGAACCGCTGACACTGGGCTTCTACCATCTCAGAGCCTACAGAAAGAGATAAAGAAAGAATAAGGCCTTGAGAAACAAGATCTTAACACATATTTTAACCTTTGCAGCCCACATAAATCACCTCTAATCAGGAATGGTCTTCTTGTGATGGACAAGGGGGACATGACAAATAATGGTGGAAGGTAATAATACAAATAATAATATATTATTATTATTATTCAGTGCTGTATGCATACAGATAGATTAATTTAAATGAATTTAATTTTCCATTATGATGCTGCCTTAGAAGACAGCTGCCAGTGTTGACAATGATAAAAAAGGAAGCTCACCAGGTTTCTGAGTTAAAATTAGAGCTGCTGCTCATTAGTGTTTGAAGACTTACTACAGTGTCAAATTATAGAAATAGTTGTACAATATGCTTAATTAATACATGTCTCTAGTTAAAAAAGGTACCAAATAGAAATACAAATTCTTTCAACCTGAACCTGAATCTTTCAACCAATTCTTGCACCCAAAAAAAAAAAAAAATTCAGATTAACCAGCACATTGTGCTGAAAATATGAAGACCAAACATCAATGGGTAATGCTGAACAATTACCGATGCATTCATATATTATTGAACTGTTGTATAAAAGTAATATCACACATTTGGAGTGACTCATCTCTCTCTCTCTCTCACCTACTGCTCTGCAGTTTTAGTGGACTAATGATGCCTGACTGTATTCCTGAACAACTTCAATTTTCTCCTTGTACATCAAGCAGGTCCTATTAAGAGACCAAAATCGACCTGGCTCTGATGTAACAGTCCGAAGTTACTTAAATTAAAATAACTAAATGTATAGAAATCTATTCACACATTCGCTATTTTATTTGAAATAATTTCATCACCACTTAAAATAATTTTAAGTGACACGACTAGTTGCAACGTGTCAAAAACAGAGTGTGTGTCCATCAACTGAAAGCACATTGTAATGCTGCAGACAGCTCAGTTGATTATAATGGGATTGAGCTTGTTTTACATGTCAGGCATCTGGTGTAGATGAGCGTAACCAAACTTTTCTGACAGATGTGGGCATGCAAGCTTTGTTGTCTTTTACAGATGTGCAACTACATGTGTATTTTAAGTCTGTAATAAATCATGTGGAAAAATACATGGATATAAGGCTACTAACAAGTAGGAAAACTGCGGTATGATATAACATTACAGGCCAAAGCAAATGCAAAAAAAAGCAGAAAATTGATTTATGGGCCAGATTTAAAATAAACTATAACACTTAAGGGACTATATGATATATATATATATCTTCCATACGGGAGGCAGTTTTATACCCTTGTCTGTAAGTTTTTGTACACGGATCATGTGTAAATGGATGAATATGTGAGTGTGTTTGCGTATGTGGTACCTGTGACTCTCAGTTTGTCTGTGCCAATACTGATCTCCTCTTCATCAGCAGAGAAGAGAACTGTCTCACCATCACTACTTCTCACTTCGAACCGCTGACACTGGGCTTCTACCATCTCAGAGCCTACAGAAAGAGATAAAGAAAGAATAAGGCCTTGAGAAACAAGATCTTAACACATATTTTAACCTTTGCAGCCCACATAAATCACCTCTAATCAGGAATGGTCTTCTTGTGATGGACAAGGGGGACATGACAAATAATGGTGGAAGGTAATAATACAAATAATAATATATTATTATTATTATTCAGTGCTGTATGCATACAGATAGATTAATTTAAATGAATTTAATTTTCCATTATGATGCTGCCTTAGAAGACAGCTGCCAGTGTTGACAATGATAAAAAAGGAAGCTCACCAGGTTTCTGAGTTAAAATTAGAGCTGCTGCTCATTAGTGTTTGAAGACTTACTACAGTGTCAAATTATAGAAATAGTTGTACAATATGCTTAATTAATACATGTCTCTAGTTAAAAAAGGTACCAAATAGAAATACAAATTCTTTCAACCTGAACCTGAATCTTTCAACCAATTCTTGCACCCAAAAAAAAAAAAAAACTGTCCCGAAACACACAATTTAGACTGTCCAATAAGTTGTATGCAGCAAATAATTGAATATAAAATGGCGTATATGAATTTGACTCGGCATGAGCCAAGGAAGGGGGAGGGGGTTGGGGGAATTGCTTTTAGACCATAAGGTTAAAAAGGTATTAGCAGAAATATGTGTGCAAATTTGGCCTTTTGGTGGTGCTAGAGAGTTTGAGATAGATACTCCAAATTTGCCATGGTTAATATTGACACTGTCCTCTATCTGTGTGCCAAATTTCATAACTTTCTCGCAAGCAGTTCTATGGGCTGCCATAGACTTCCAGAGAAGAAGAAGAAGACGAAGAAGAAGAAGAAGAAGAAGAAGAAGAAAACTAACAGATGCAAGAGGTGCCTAAGAGGTGCCTTGGCCCCTAATTAACAACATGTGGGAAGAGTTCCAAATACAATGTTATGCAGGGAAAAAAAAAAACTCATTGGAAAGGTTCTTAGAAATAATAGCAACATAAATACCAATAATATCAACATAATCCCACAAATTCCTCTATGTTGCAGTTTACTATGGAAAGCCTTTCTTATTTGGACCCTGATGCATGATTATGAATTAGAGAAAGAGCGGACTTTGTGTTTGTTTCACGCAGGAGGCTGATGTGAGAGATGTGAATGACTGATCTTGACTTTATTCACTAAGCGTGACTTGGCCTATAAATTACACTGTCACTGGAATCTCAGTAGCTTTTAATGCACTGCCCCAAACAAACACTGCAATGGCTTCACTGACTATATTATTTATCACAGCTATCATATCTTCCATGTCTTAGGTGACCTTGGAGAGCAAACTTGGCTTTGTTTGTTTGCCCACATTATGCGTGTGTGACAGAAAGTAAACTTCTCTTTTTTCCTAAAGCCCACTCTCCCCTTTCTCTGCCACCCTCTATTGTCTTTCTAGTCCTCTTCATGCATTCATTGTCTGTCCTCTCATTTTTTCAGTGTTTGTACTATAATGTATGACACCCTGCCCTTTCTCCAAGCACCCTATGGCAAAGAGAGCAGTTCATTAAAGTAGAATATAACAACGCAAATTTTGGGATTTAATTTAGGCAACTTTTCAAACATGGCTTTCTTTATATTTACTATCCACCTTTTGGATGTAATATTATTATACGTTATATAGATTATTAATACTGTATATATGACAACACCTCTCACAAGCTCAACTTGCCAATAGTTTATTAATAACGTTTCCATTTTAAAAGTAATTTGATATATTTAACTTAAAATAATTAATCATTTTACCAAATTAATTTCTCTTTACAAACTTTTGTATTTTCAGTTCAGTAGCCTGTTTTGTCCAATGTCTCAAAAAGCACAGCTGACATACTTATTTCAGTTTGGCATCTGAAGGAGCCCCATATCAACAGTTGATTGAAGCTGTTGTTCCTGCTGTGCTTAAACATCATTTCACAGACCTAAAGAAAAAAAAAATGTAGAGCACATCTCCAGATCCTGAAGTTACTTTTTTTTAATACAAAGAGATTTGGTGTTGGATTATGTTAAATATATATAAAAAAGAAACATGTTCATTAATTAATTGCTTTGCATTCTTTTCTCTTATAATTATGACGATCTGTTGCATATCAGTGAAAGTCCCACATCATTTGATATATTTTAAGGAAGAAATAACTGAAAAAAAAAGTCAAATTTCCATTAATTATGTTGGATAGTGATTAAAGATGTGCTTGAGGATAGGGCAAGGCTAAATTTGATTATGCTGATGAGATCAAGAGGAGATAATGCTAATAAATTGTTAATTTATACTCATATTTTAATCTCCTCTTGACCATATCACTGCACAGCGGTGGCCAGAGATTTGCTCATAGATCAACTACAGAGCATGATCATCTTTAGAGAGGACATGACAGAAACACACCACAGGATTATAAAGGGACAGATTTGCTTCTTTCTTTCTTCCTTCGAGTGAAAAAAAAGCTACGATAATGAAAGTTTTGATTTGTGTGGTTGTGGCGTATCAGAAAGACTAAGCAGTCTGTGCATCCACCCGAAGAACTGAAAAATTATTTAAAAATAAATATTTATTTAACATGGCCACACTGAAACAGGAAGCAGAGATTCTAAACTAAAGAAAAAATATGGTTAATTTAACAATTGCACATGATCGATTTTGTGCAAAAAATCTCTGGTGGCCCAAACATTAAGATCTTGCAATTATGAAAAAAAAATGTAAGCTTCTTAGGTCAAAATATAGCCTACACATTAAATAAAATGTATATTAGACCTCATTAATTCATAATTAAAGCCATGTTGTTCACAACAGGTTATTACCTCATATTCGTTTGCATCACATTTAATGTTTGCGTGCTTCAAGAGCTCAAGGTTTGAGTGCTTGATTACTTCAGTGATTGTTCTCAGTGAATGTACATGTAAGGAGTAAATACTCATTATTTGGACAAGGACATCCTCACTTTCATAAAGCCATCCAGACTGCACCACCTCACGGATCTCACAGAGCCTCTCATCCAGGTGATTTAAATGAGAAATGATGTGCACTGGATATTAATGACGTGCTCTTGAATATTAATTGATACTGATTTACCTCTCATTAAAACTGAGGAATAATGATTAATGGTTGTTTTGAGGTTGGAGGAAATTGAAACTTTCCCTTGGAGTGAAATGGCAAAAAAAACTTGCTGTGGAAAACCAGATGGTGTTAAAATGAAGAGATGCTTGTTAAATTTCACAAATAGTGTAAAAAAAACTGACATTTGTTAAATGTGTCAGTTGAATTAAAAAATTACCTTGAGGAAAGCATTGAGCGTGATCAGTCAAAGCCTTTCATAGAATAGGATGGAAATGCATTATAAAGGTGGCGTCACAAAGGTTTTGCGATACTACAGCATTTCATACAACAAGGGGTTTTCAAACTGGAGTCAAGGAGTGCTGGGGGGTCAGTGGAAACATTTACAGAAATAATAGTGTTAAAAATAAAAATATTTTTAAATATAATATATGAGCAATATCACATGTGTGATATCTCTCTACATCAGCATGGCTGTGATTCAGCCATAGAAGGGTTTGAAAAGGGTTTGAAAACCCTTGTTTAAAAATACCCCTTATAGTCAGATAAAAATGTGCTGTAAATACACTGCTTTATTATCATTCCAGCTACAGCAAGAGGTTTAGAGGTTAACAGCTGGGCTTGGATGAGGTTGAACATCTGTGCAAAATGCTGTTATATAAAACGTGGAGCTTCTGATCTGAATTGCTTGGAGGTTCTAATCTGACCTTATGAGTAAACAACCTCTGCTGATGCAAGCCAAAGAAATGTCCACATCCTTTTTTTCAGTCAGTCAGTCAGTCAGTCAATCAAAAACAATTATAATGTAAGGGCTCTGTATTAATGTAGAGAAATGGTGCACAAAATAACGGCAACAAAATAAAATAAATAAAAAATAAGTAGCAAAGATAAATTATTTTTCCAAACCGGATAATCCTCATCAATAAAAAGGTGAAATGGGTGAATTTTGAACACCTGCATTAATCAGTGGGTGTGTGTGTGTGTGCATGTGTCTGGGTGTGGCTTGTGGACAGTGTAAAGAGACAAATAATCAGAGCTGTTGTCATAATCAGCAAACACAGCCCTGAAGACTGATGCGTGTATTTGTATGCATTAATCTCCATATGTCCTTTAGATAGTTTTTCTCTATCTCTCTCTCTCTCTTTGGAGAGTTTAAGCTCACTTCCTCCAAGTGGTAATGTGGCATTGCAAATGATGATATTCATTTAAAACTAGCAATTTATTCTGGCTAAATTACACAACATAAAACAGCACATTAAATTTCTAAACGTTCCTCTACATGCATGCACACTTTACCAAGGTATTCTTATCATGATTAATTACTTGGAACTAATCACTGAAATCACTGGATTTTTGGTGCTGTGGAACGTATAATTGGTGACTTGAGCACTTTCAGGTGGCTGTTTTTGAAATTTCCAGGTATATCTATATTTAAATTAGGTACCCTTATGGATTGCAGTGGATGCAATGGAGTAAAACCTTTTGAAATAATAATACGTTGAGCTCTCCTTGACTAAATGAAATTCAAATACATACATATGTAACTTATTCTGATGACATATCATCTAGAATGTTTGTCCTTGAAGAGATTAAATGCACCAAGCAAATCACTATGTGTGCACCTTTTTAATGTCATGTCGATGTAAAGTATTAAACAGCAATTTAGCAGAGTCAACCACCGGTCCATGTTTGGCTGGTTAGCTTGATATTGTTAGCCCCTGTTGGTAGATGCCACTTTCAAGAACATTTCGGTTGGGTTCGTTGAGTTCATTTAGAGTAGAACGCAATTTGTAATACCTAATCAAAACCCCATAATATTTATAAAAAATGTATACAGTAATTTAACAGACTAACTGGCTAGCGGTGTGCCAAACTGGTACACTAGGTGTTTAAATAGCTGTTTATATAATGTTTATACATTTTA